GTTTGATATTGGTTAATATTGATATTGGATAATTGGATAATGCTGATGTTTGATAACTGCATAAACCCAGTGTTTGATATTGGTTAATATTGATATTGGATAATTGGATAATGCTGATGTTTGATAACTGCATAAACCCAGTGTTTGATATTGGTTAATATTGATATTGGATAATTGGATAATGATTATATTTGATAACTGGATAATACTGATTTTTGATTATTGGATAATGTTTATATTTGAGAATTGGAAAATATTGATATTTGATAATTGGATATTGATATTCATAATGCTGATATTTGATAATTGGATAATGCTGATGTTTGACAACTGCATGATCCTGGTGTTTGATATTGAATAATATTGATATTGGATAATTGGATAGTGCTGATATGTGATAATTGGATAATGCTGATGTTTGATAACTGGATAATGCTGATATTTGATAACTGGATGATATGAATATTTGCTAATGCTGCTGTTTGATAATTTGCCCACCAGTCCTGACTCAGGACACTGATATGTGATAATTGGATAATACTGATGTTTGATAACTGGATAATATTGATATTTGATAATTTCACAATGCTTATATTTGAGAATTTGATAATGCTGATGTTTGATAACTGGATAATATTGATATTGGATAATTTGGTAATGTTTATATTTGATAACTGGATAATGCTGATGCTTGATAACTTGATAATATTGATATTTGATAATTGGATAATATTGATATTTAATAATTGCATAATGCTGATATTTGATAATTGGATAATGGTGATATCTGATTATTGGATAATGTTGATATTCAATAATTGGATAACATTGATATTTGTTAATTGGATGATGTTAATATTTTATAATGCTCATATTTGATAACTGGATAATGTTGATATTTGATAATTGGATAATGCTGATATTTGATAATTGGATAAAGCTGATGTTTGATAATTGGATAATGCTGATATTTGATAATTTGATAATATTGATATTTGATAATTGGAGGATATTAATATTTTACAATGCTGATATTTGATAATTGGATAAAACTGATGTTTGATAACTGGCTAATGCTGATATTTGACACCTGGATGATATTAGTATTTGCTAATGCTGCTGTTTGATAATTTGCCCACCAGTCCTGACTCAGGACAGGAGGCTCCTGGCACACCCTGCACATCTGTCACTCCCCTGTCACCTCCAGCCCAAAGCTCCTCCACCTTCCCAACTCCCAGGTGGCTCCAGGCTGGCCTTGGAACTCCCAGGGATGCAGGGGCAGCCCCAGCTGCTCTGGGAATCTCCAAAATCCTGAAATTGGGGCTGGGAACCGCGGCTGGAGCCGTTCCCAGCCCGTGATGCCTTTCCCAGATGTGCACCCGGATAAAAACATTCCCAGCCCTTTTCCCAGGGGCTGGGATCCCCCTCTGTGGGAAAACTGAGCTCAAATTCCCCCAAAACCTGGGCAAACAAAGAGGTGTCAACTCTCTGAGGGAGGAAAATCAACATCCAGGAGAGCAGGAGCAAAGGATCAGCAATTCCAGCTTGTTCTGTGTGTTTGGAAATGGAGGATAAAGCCTGAGGCTTTCCCACCCTCCAAAAAAAAAAAAAAAGTTTAAACCAATTAAAAATCAGTTTTTAAGTTTCAGGTTTCAGTTTTAAGTTGAAAACACCAGTTCAGAAATCAGTTTTCTGCTGGTGCAGGAGCTGAGGAGGAAGGAAAAGGTTTCTTACAAACCACGGATGTTTCGCTGCTGCCCAAAATCCCTTCTCAGTTCCTTGGGTTTTCCCTGAAATCTTGGGGTTTTCACCCAAATCCTTCAGCAGTGATTTCACTTCCAAGAGCTGCAATTTCCTGAGCTCTTCCCAGCTTTTCTATGGGTTCAGCAGCTCTTCCAGGTAGTGTTTGACATTTCCCCCAGAAAGGTTCAGCTGAGCCATCCCAAAATGAGCATTTTCTGCTTTGACAGCTCTGAACTTCTCAGAATTCTGACAAACCACCCAAACCCTGAGCTCAGGGAACACGTGACCCTGCCTTGCTGGGAAACAACCCCAAAACAATCCCAAAATCCAGGGGGTTGGGCTCTTTATGGATGGGGATGTTTTGTGTGGGGGTTTTTTTTTATGGATGGGGAAGTTTTGTGTGGATTTATGAGGATTTGCTCCTCGGTTTGGGGTGCAGACAAAGCAAACCCTGCCAAGCTCAGGCCTGCAGGTGGAATGGGATCTCTGGGGGTGTTTCTGGGGATGATCCTGGTGTTTCTGGGGATGGTCCTGGTGTTTCTGGGGATGATCCTGGTGTTTCTGGGGATGGTCCTGGTGTTTCTGGGGATGATCCTGGTGTTTCTGGGGATGATCCTGGTGTTTCTGCAGCATTCCCAGGGAAAGCTCGGGTGACTCAGGCTGGAAAGGGCAAACCCCGGTGCTCCCTTTGTGCCCACCCCTCCCCAAAACACCCCCCTACAAACTCCAGGGCTTTTCTCAGCTCCTGCAGCAGCAGCAAAGGGATTTTTCGGGGTTGGAAAAGCCGTGTGGGGGCTGTGGGGTGAAGGTTTCTGGGCGTGCAGGTGCAGTGTGGGAGGGCAGGAAGGACAAACCCCAAACTGAGTCAGCAGCGCTCGGCTGCTTCCTTATCTCACAGATATCTGAGCAGAAAGGGCACAGCAGCAGCTGAGCTGAGCTGGAAAAGGGCTCCACAGCTGCTGGGAACTGCAGGCAGGCCTTGCATTTGGCATTTTCCTGCTGCCAGAGAGAGCACACGAGGGGAATTGGGGGTGCAGCTGCAATCAAAGGTGGTGCCGTGAGTGTGGATGGCAATGGGGGCTGCAGCTCACCCAAAAACTGAATTTCCAGCAGGAAAACAAGGAATTACAGCCCCCACGGTGGGAAGGGAGGGTTACACCCAAAAAAAGATGGAATCACAGCCCCCATGGTGGGAAATGAGGGTCCCACTCTGTTCAAAGTCTCCCTCCTGGCTTTCCTTGGGGGAACTCCTCCTTTTCTTCATATTCCCCCCCAAAAATGGGGCAAACACCTCTCCCTCTCCTCATTTCCCCCCAAAATGGGGCAAGCACCTCTCCCTCTCCTCATTCTCTCCCAAAAATTGGGCAAACACCTCTCCTTCTCCTCATTTCCCCCCAAAACAAGAGTGAACATCCCAACCCTTCCCTTCCCTTTAATCCTGAAAGGATTAACTGTGCTCCTAAATAAACAACACTCAGGAAAACAGGAGGGATGATGCAATTTCAAACAAGAAAAACAACACAACAGATTATTTTTTTTTTGCCTTTTTTTAGGCAAGGACTGGAAGAGCAGAGCTGGTACTGACAGAAACAAAGAAACCAGAGCAAACTGCTCACCCCAGCCAGCACCACCCAGGGCAGCGATTTCTGAACCAAGTGAATTCCCAGAAAATCACGTGGATTCGGGAGCAGGAGCTTTTCCAATGTTTTCCTGGCAGGGCCAAGAGCCAATTCCCAACTCCTGGAGCAGCTCAGGAGCTGCCACTCAGCCCTGAGCTCTGAGGGGCTGCAGCAGCTCCAGGCTGGGGTGGGACAGACTTTAAAGAGAGATTTTAGCATTTTAAATTTGAAATCAAATTTAAATTTGAACTAAAATTTTAGAAATTTTCTTTTTACAGATTTTAGGGATGGATTTTTAGGGACAGAAGCAGGCTGGAAGGAGAATTCCTGGGAAATTCAGGATGATGGAACAGCCAGAGCAGCACAAACAACTCTGCAGTCACGGGGCTTGAAAGGCTCTTTGAATTTGTGTGTGCAGAAAGGACAGAGTGCAAATGGCACAGGCGGCTCCAGAGGCTCTGGATCATCCCTGATGATCCATCCCCACCTCCTCCAGCCCAGCAATGAGTCAGGCAGGCCCTGAGAGGGCAACACCTCTGTGCAAGGCTGGGTCATGCACCCTCCAGAGCTTCCCCTCCCCACTCCCGGCTGATTTCTGCAGCCCAGAGAGCAAAAAACGCCATGAACTCTGTGCAATCTTCATAAAAAATAGATATAAAATAGATTTAACAGCAGCTGTAACAGCACAGGAGCTTAAAAAGTTTTTTATCTGCCCAATTTTCTCTCCTCCCTGCACATCAGTGCTCCTGGTGGCCCTGCAGCCTCACCCCGCTCTGCTGGTGGCTCCAGTTTTAATGAAAGCATTGGGAGCGCTTTGATTAAGGAATCGCTGTATAAATTATGATATTAAACCCAAATAATAAATAAATAATAATTAAAAATTAATAATGAAAGTGAAGTCCCAACTGCGGCCCAAGCGCGCCCTCTGCCGCCCGCAGCGGGAACTGCAGGCAAGGAAATCCTGGGAGATTTTTCCTCCCCAAAAATTGGGATTTTTAGGGATTTTTTAACCAAAATGCACAAAATCAGCCCATTTCTATTTCCCAAAGCCTGGCTGAGACACGCGGGGAACGCAAAGCTCTGGAGCCACCTGGATCTCAGCTCTTCGGGTGAGCCATCATCATCCTCATCATCACTATCATCATCCTCCTCATCACCCCAGTGTCCTCCTGTCCCAAACCCCTCCCAAATCCAGGGAGGGCTCAGCCTCCTGCCCCTTGAATTCCCAAGGTTATTCCAAGAGGATCCAGCCCTGGGACAGCACGGCCACAATTCCCACAGCTCTGGGTTTGTCACCTCCAAACAACCCCAAAAAACCCAAAAAAACCCCAAACAAGCCAAAAAAAACACCCCAAACAAGCCCAAAAAAGCCCTTCACAGAGCTTCCCATGGAACAGCAGCTCCCACAAAGCTCCAGGTCCCCTCTGGAATGCAAAGATTTCCCTCCCTAATTAATGAATTAATTAATTGCTGGCACATAACGAGGCCCCATAAGCAGCACCCACAGTCAGCACTTCAGGATCCAAATCCACCTCCAAACCCATCCCAAACCCCTCATCCAGATCGTTTTCCAGATCAAACGGAGCAATTAAGGGGAGATTAATTAATACAGAGACAAAGGCCGAGGTCTCTGCTCACCTTCCCACTGCAGAGCAGCCTCGTTCTCGTGTGGATTCCTGGAATTTTTCTGGATTCCTCGACTGCTCCTGCCAGGAAAAACGGGAATTGAGATCCAGCAGCACGAGCAGCCGGAGCTGTGTTATCCATGGAGTTATAATTTGGGATATTTGCTCCATCGTGGCATTAATCAGGGCTGGTGAGGGACGTCCCTGGGTCGATCAATATCCAATTAGTCACTGGAAAATCGGGGCTGATTTATTGATCAATAACAGAATAATGACAGGGAAGCTGTGGGATTCTCCTTTGTGTTTTTTATAAATCACAGCCACGACCTGGGTGAGGGCAATATTTGGGTTTAAATTGCATTTTTTTTGGGGGGAAGCAGGGAGGGAGAGGGGTTTGTGTCATTTTGGGGAGGGAAAGTGAAGAAGAGGAGTTTGCATCATTTTTGAGGGGAGTGAGGAGTTGGAAAGGGCCTTGCTGCCTCATTTTTTGGAGGGAATGTTAGGAATAAGAAATGTGTCCCCATTTTAGGGGGCAATGAGGAGAGGGAGGAGTGTTTGAAACATTTTTGGGGGGGGAAGAGGAAGAATTGCCTCAATTTTAAAGGAGAATATGAAGAAGAGGAGGAGTTTCCCCCCATTTTTTTGGGGAAATATGAAGAAGAGGAGGAATTTACCCCATTTTTGAGAGGGAAGGATGGGAGGCAGAGCTGTTTCCCCAATTTTTTTTGGGAGAATATGAAGAAGAGGAGGAGTTTGCCCCATTTCAGAGAAAAACATGAAGAGGAATTTGCATCATTTTTTGTGGGGGGATATGAAGGAGGAATTTCCCCCATTTTAGAGGAGAATGTGAAGGAGTTTCCCCCATTTTTTTTTTGGGGGGGTGAATATAAAGAAGAGGAGTTTCCCCCCATTTTTTGGGGGAATATGAAGAAGAGAAGGAGTTTCCCCCCATTTTTTGGGGGAATATGAAGAAGAGGAGGAGTTTCCACCCAATTTTTTGGGGGAATGTGAAGAAGACGAGGAGTTTCCCCCCATTTTTTGGGGGAATGTGAAGAAGAGGAGGAGTTTGCCCCCAATTTCAGAGAAGAACACGAAGAGGATTTTGCATCATTTTTTTGGGGAGCAGCATTTACATCCTGGCAGGGACAGTCACAGAGCATTTGAGCACAGCAAAGCTCAGCCTGTGCAGGCTGAATTTCCAAGAAAAGCTCAGTCCCAGGCTGAGGAAGGAGCTGCCCTCGGGAGAGCTCCCAAACCCCCCCGAGGAGCCCTCGTGCCTCACGTCCCCTTCCCAGTAAAACATTGCTCAACCCAGCAAGGGATGGATTCCAAGAATCCATCGGAGCTGAAATCCAGCCCTGCTTGTTTTCCCTGCTGCTGGTTGAACACAAACAGGTTGTTTTTGGTTTTTTTTTCTTGTTTTGTTTTGGTTTTTCTAAAGGAGTCAAAGCCACGTCAGTGATTCTGGGCTGGGGTTCAGGCCAGGGCTCCTTTCACCTCCTCCTTCTGCAGATTGCAGTGGATTCAGGGATGGGAACGGCCAAGAAAAGCAGTTTCAAGTTGTTTTGTTTGGATTTTTTTTTTAAACAGGGATTTTTGCAGATTTCACATTCCAGGGCCAGCTCTCTGTGGAAATAGGAAGGTGAAGGCAGGGAAAAAAATGCTGAATTTGGGGCAGGTCAGGAGAGCAAAAAGGCACAAACACCTCAAACAGCTGCAGGCTCAGAACTGGCCTTGGAATGGGCAATCCCTGAGGATCACAGAATCCTGGAAGGCTCTGGGCTGGAAGCAGCTCCAATCCCACCAGTTCCACCCTTCCCACTGCCCCAGCTTGCTCCAAGCCTCTGGAATTGGGCACTTCCAGCCATTCCCACTGCCCCATCCAGGAATCCCTGGATGCTGGGGAGGCTTTAGCTGGATTTGGGATGAGGGATGGAAAAAAGCACCTGGACCATCAGGATCTGCTGCTGGAGCAGTGCTGAGTCCCTCCAGAATCCTGCAATTGGCCCAAAAGGACTGAAATTCCAGGGAATTCATCAACCCAGAGCAGCTGATAAACAAAGAGGGCCACGAGCAGGAAAGGCCACCAGGAATTTTGGGAAAGGAGCCAACCTTCAGCTGCCATCCTGACTTCAGAGGGATTTTCCAAACCAAACCATTCCATGGAGGTGAAGCTGCTGCTGGAATCAGCTCCACACAAACCACCCCAAACCCAAGCACCCCCAAACCACCTCCAAATCCATTCCAAACCACCCCAAACCCAAGCACCCCACAAACCCATCCCAAACTCATTCCAAACCCATCCCAAACTCATTCCAAACCCAAGCACCCCCAAATCCATTCCAAACTACCCCCAAACCCACTCCAAACCAACCCAAACCCACTCCAAATCCATTCCAAACCACCCCAAACCCATTCCAAATTCATTCCAAATCCATCCCAAACCACCCCAAACCACCCCAAGCCCCCCAGCCAGGCTGATTCCCCAGGTGAAATGAACACATTAATGGCAGATGAATCAATAATGAGAATTCCCTTCCCTCCAGACCCAGGAGCTGGAGCTGAGCTGGAAGCCTGCACTGACAGCACACCCTGTGCCTTATTTCTGGGGCTTTTCCCTGCAATTTTGGGCTGCTTTGGGTTTCTCCTTTTGGGCTTTCATTTCCAAAGTAACACAGGGGTTAAATCTCAGGTTAAATTTCAGGTTTGGAGCTGCTCTCAGAGGCCCCACCACCACCAAAGGGCAGAAGAAGGCTGGAGCTCTGCAGAGGGACAGGACCCCACGTCTGGCTGCGCCGCTGTTTACGGGATCCCTGCTCTGCCAGGGAGAACAGGGCTGACCTCAGCTGGAACAAACTCTGCCCCCTCCTCCCTGCCAGCCCGTCCTGCTGCAAAGCTCTGCAACGGGACATTCCCCAGCTCCTGCTCACAGGCACGGAGCTCTGCTGCCAGCCCAGCTGGGACAGCGCTGGGGACAGGAACTGGGGACAGCGCTGGGGACAGGAACTGGGGACAGCGCTGGGGACAGGAACTGGGGACATGGGACACCCCAGGGCACCCCAGGGCACCACAGGGACACCCCAGGGGCACCCCAGGGCACCCCAGGGACACCCCAGGGACACCCCAGGGCACCTCAGGGCACCCCAAGGACACCCCAGAGACACCCCAGAGACACCCCAGAGACACCCCAGAGACACCCCAGAGGTGCCCCAGATCGTGGCCGTTTCCTCTGGGAACACCCCCTGGATCTGGGCCTGGAGGGTTTGGGAAGGCTCTGCCCCCTCCCCACAACTGGTAATTCCTGCTGGGAATGTCACACTGACAGCTGGGGCAAAATCCTGCCTGTGTCCAGGTTTTCCTGGCTCTATCCAGCTTTCCCTGCCTGTATCCAGGTTTCCCTGCCTGTATCCAGGTTTCCCTGCCTGTATCCAGGTTTTCCTGCCCTGCCTTCCTTCCCTCCCTGACCCTGCCAAGCAGAACCATCCCCTTCAGAGATGCCTCTCTTAGGAGCGGGTGTGGGCAGCAGGAAGGGGAATTCCTTCCCAAATTCCCTGGAAGCACCAACAGTTGGGAATGTGAAGCATCCTGGAGGGCCAGAGCCAGGAAGGAAAGCGGATCCTGCAGCCCAGCCCACCAGAATTCCCCCCTGGAGCCAGGAATGGCAGGGAAGGAGCAGGAGCCCTTCCAGGAGGAGCTGCCAGCCCAGCAGCAGGAGTTGTGTGCTGCAGGAATTCCCTGCTGCAGGAATTCTGTGCTGTAGGAATTCTGTGCCCCTGGAATTCTGTGCTGCAGGAGTTCTGTGCCTCTGGAATTCTGTGTCCCTGGAATTCCCTGCTGCTGGAATTCTGTGTCCCTGGAATTCTGTTCTGCAGGAATTCCGTGCTCCTGGAATTCTGTTAGAATTCTGTGCCCCTGGAATTCCATGCTGCAGGAATTCCATGCTGCAGGAGTTCTGTGTCCCTGGAACTCTGTGCTGCAGGAATTCCCTGCTGCAGGAATTCTGTTCTGCAGGAATTCCCTGCTGCAGGAATTCCCTGCTGCAGGAATTCCGTGCTGCAGGAATTCTCCAGCCCTTCCCTGGCCTGGCTCCACCCCTGGCTGTCTCTCTGGATGCTCAGCTCACTCCCAGCATTAAATCCCCCCCACAGGTTCAGTTCTGCCCCTCTGTGCTCCATAAACATCCCCAGATCCAGGTCCAGAGCCAGACCTGTCACGTCCCTAAAAATATCCCCCTATAAATGGCAAATTCTCCAACAATGGCACCAGGGCAACCACCCCAAAACATCCAGGGCAGAGCTTCCAGCGTGAACTTTTCCCTGGGAGCTCCTCCAAGGGATGAGCAGATCCTTCTTTCCCTGTGCCCTTTTCCAGCTGGGTTTTTTGGGGTTTTTTTTGGGCACAGCTGCTGCAGCCAGCACTCATTTGCTGTTGGAAGCTCACTGGGAAGTCTGTGCTGGCAATGGGATCTGGAATATTTTTTTTTGAAGTCCTAAAAAGGGGAGAATTGGAGGAGAGGGGAGCAAAAAGGTTCTGCAGGATTCACACCCCCAGGGACCTGAGCTCAGGAAATTGAGCACGGGACCTCAGTGACCACACTTGGAATTTTTAAAATCTTTCCAAAAGCAAATCCTGCCCCTGGGAGGCTCAGGAATTTTGGGATTTTTGAGCAGAGCACCCCATTTCACACAGCTGTGCACAGGTGGATCTGTGGGGGAGGAAAGGTGAAATTCCAGACAGGGGAAATAAACCAGATTAATGCAGAAGTGGAGTTAAAATGTGGAATCCCTCGTGGATCCAAGGAAAAGGAGCTGCACGTTTCCCCACCTGGCATATTCCAAGGGATTTTTCCAACCCCCTCAGGCATTCCTGCCCAGGAATTGCTTTTCCTCTGAGAAAAAGAGGGGGAAAATTAAAATAAACCCTGCAGACAGCAGCAGGAATTCATTCCTCACAGGAATCCATTCCTCAGGAAATGTTTGGGGATTCTGCTCAGCAGAATCTCCTCAAACCCCTCCAGAGCTTCAGGGATCCTCAGGACAAGGGGCCATGGAAACAACAGCGCTCATTTCAGAGCTATTTTTAAAAAGAGTTTTTGCTTCTGGGATGCCAGTTTCCAGGAGTTGTTTGGAAAATGAGATTTTAAAAATGTCCCCACGCTAACGGAACAAACTGTGCTGGAGCAGCAGCTCCCCCTGCTCGGGGTCCTCCAGGGATGCCTTTGACTTTCCAGCTTCCTTTCATCCAAAAAAAAAAATAAAACCACCTTTTCCTCCTTTTAGAGGGCAAAATAGCAACAACAAAAAATTAAATTTGTATTTAAATCGTCCAGTTTTAGCAAATGCCTGCAGCTGCTCCAACCAGATCAAACCAGGGACAATCCCCTTCCCTGCCCCTGAGCTTTAATGGAATTATTGAATTATTTCAGCCCAAAGCCTCTGCCAGGATCCAAAGGGGATCTCTTCTGTCACTGACAACATCCCAAAAACAGCAGGAATTTAAAAATCCACACCAACAACATCCCAAAAATGGCAGGAATTTAAAAATCCACACCAACAACTGCGTGGAGGGGAAAGAGGAGGTGGAAGAGGATCCAGGCGAGGGGAATTCCTGCACTGGATATAGGGATTTTAAAATCCACACCAACAACATCCTAAAAATTACAGGGATTTTAAAATCCACACCAACAACATCCCAAAAATGGCAGGAATTTAAAAATCCACACCAACAACATCCTAAAAATGACAGGAATTTTAAAATCCACACCAACAACTGCGTGGAGGGGGAAGAGGAGGTGGAAGAGGATCCAGGCGAGGGGAATTCCTGCACTGGAAATACCAGAGGGGATGCTGAGGTTTGGGATTCCTGCAGGGCTGGAAAAGCCAGCAGGAATTTGCTTTGCAGGGTCCTCAGAGCAGCTGAAGGCTCCAGAGTTGTTCCATAGGTTGCTCCAACAATTTGGGAATTTCTCCAGTGAAATATGAAGTATGAAGTTGTTTAAAATCCCTAAAAACAGCCCACAAAAAGAATCCTGATAAACCAAATAACCAAACACCCCCCAGGGAGGGAATAGTCCCCTTTTTCCTCCCAGCTGGGAAAAGTTCACCACAGAAAACAGGGAAAGGAGGAAAATATCCAGAGGAAGGATCTGGAAGCAAGGTTGGGGTTTAAACGTGGCTGTTCCACCTCAGAGCAGCTTCTGAGGTTGTTTCAATGTGGTTTGTGTTACACAAGTGCCCTCAATCTTCCAGGATCTGCAATTTTCTACAGGCAATTAGTGGAAAAATTAAATGTCTTAATGACCCCTGGGAAATGGGATCCACCCGTGATTCCTGAGCCAGGGCAGCTCCAGTTCTGCAGGATAAAAATCCCAAAAAAAGGGGGTTTGTGTCATTTCAGGAATGGGGGGAGAACTGAGAGCATGAAAAGCTGCTCCTAAAAATCAGAAAGGTGTGAGAGTCCTAATTGGCACCACAAAGATTAAAAAAGGGGGAAAAAATCAGGAGCAGGAGGCTGGAAAAGAGCTCTGGGCTGTGCCTGACCCCCACCTTGTCCCCACCTCCAGGGATGGGGACCCCAAACCTCCCTGGGCAGCTCTTCCCAAGCTCTAACAACCCTTTCCAGAGGAAATTCCTGCTGCTGCCCCACCTGGAGCTCCCTGGGGCTGTCCCCTCCTGTCCTGCTGTCCCCTGGGAGTTGGGGACTTGGGGACACTGGGAATGTCCCCCTGATCCTGCTTTTCTCCAGGCTGGGCCCCTTCCCAGCTCTCTCAGGAATTCTCCAGCCCCTTCCCAGCTCCTTCAGGAATTCCTAACTCTCTCAAGAGTTCTCCAATCCCCTTCCCATCTCCCTCAGGAATTCTCCAGCCCCTTCCCATCTCCCTCAGGAGTTCTCCAGCCCTTCCCTGGCCTGGCTCCACCCCGAGTTCTCCAGCCCCTTCCCATCTCCCTCAGGAATTCTCCAGCCCCTTCCCAGCTCCTTCAGGAATTCCCAACTCTCTCAAAAGTTCTCCAGTCCCTTTGTCATTTCCCTCAGGAATTCTCCAGTCCCTTCCCATCTCCCTCAGGAATTCTCCAGCCCTTCCCTGGCCTGGCTCCACCCCTGGCTGTCTCTCTGCATGCTCAGCTCACTCCCAGCATTAAATCCCCTCCACAGTTTCAATTCTGCCCCTCTGTGCTCCATAAACATCCCCAGATCCAGGTCCAGAGCCAGACCTGTCACATCCCTAAAAATATCCCCCTATAAATGGCAAATTCTCCAGCAATAATGGGTAATTTGGGGGTGGCACCAGGGCAACCACCCCAAAACATCCAGGGCAGAGCTTCAAATCCTCCTCTCAGGTCCCTCCTGAGCACCTAAAACTGGAAAAATTAAATCCCCCCCTCCACACTTTAAAAATTTGGGAATAAAGATTTGCTCTGAGCTGCAGCACAAACATTTCCCACAAGAAATGATGAGAACAACCCCCTGAGTTTTCAACTTTTTGTTTTTTTCCTGTTTTCCTCCTGGTTTGGATGGAATCTCTGACTGCCAGGGACCTCCTGGAGGACACCCCAAGTGCACAAATCAGGGACAGGCAAGGGACATTTTTGGGGTTTTTTTAGGGAAGTGAGGCAAGAGGAAGCGCTGCCAGGGATGGAGGGAAAGGAGCAGCGGTCACATGAGGATGTCCAGCCCCCAAAGCAGCTGCTAATGAGTGTCTCAGTTAATTACTCGGCTCCCTGCGATGAGGAGCTCGGGGCTGGCAGCTCATCCACGGCTCCACTGCCAGGGACACAGTGCCCTCTCTTGGAGACTCCAAATCCAGCCTGAAGCCGGGACTGAGGACAAAAACCCGCTGGAATCTCCTAAAAAAACGATTTCTGCCCAAGAAACAACTCTGGCCTGGCTGGGTATCCCTTGGAGGAACAGGGGACACCTCTGGACTGCTCCTGAGGCAGGTCAGTGACTCGTGACCTTGATTAACCTTTGGATCTCCTTATCAAAACCCAGATCTTTTTGAAAATTAAGAATTTTTAAGATGGAGAATATTGCAACACCTAAAGAGTGGTGATACCGTGGTGTCACAGAGGGGTTTGGGATGGAGGGGAGCTGAAGGATCAGCCAGCTCCAGGAGAAAGAAAGGAATTGTTTTATGAAGAACCATTCCAGCCAGAGGCACATCAGATCTCTGTGTGTGCCCAGTGCCACCTGGCACGGGTGACCAGGGACAGTGTGGCTGCCCCGTGCCACGGCCAGGCTGGACAGGCCTTGGAGCACGCTGGGATGGTGGAAGGGAAGGGACTGCAGGAGCTTTAGGATCCTTCCCACCCAAATTTCGGGTGGGAAATGCCCTGATTTGGGGCTCAGGAGGTGGTTGGGTGTCTGTGGGTGCTGCTGGCACCTACCTGGGCACGTGTCCCCAGCTCCTGTGGCACACAGGGCACTCGCTGCAGGGGGAAAGGACAAATCTCCTGAAATTAAAAAAAAAAGAGAGAATTTTCAGCAACTGAAAGGATCCTGCAGGGAATTCCAGCTCCTCTCAACACCGGGTTTGAGCCCACCAGCTGAAGCACCTCACACCTTTTCCCCATCTCCATTTTCCCCTGGTTTTCCCTGTTTTCTCCCTTCTGGAATCCCAGCCCATTCCTGAACTATTTAAAGCCCCTCACACCTTTTCCCCATCTGTTTTTCCCCTGGTTTTCCCTGTTTTTTCCCTTCTGGAATCCCAGCCCATTCCTGGACTATTTAAAGCCCCTCACACTTTTCCCCAATCTGTTTTTTCCCTGGTTTTCCCTGTTTTCTCCCTGCCCCCTCCAAGTCGATTTCAATCCCCCCAGCCACACGAGGAGTGTCCTTTGGGGTGCTTTATTTACATTTCAGTATGTTCAGGACCTGCCTTTGAGATTTTTTTGAGGGGGGATGAAATCCTAGAAGTCCTCACAGGAGAGGTTTAGTGAGGATGATGCAGGAGGCACTTGGGGTTTCTCCATGCTCATCCCTGGAATCTGGGGTAAAAACCCCAATTTCTGCCAGCTTGGAGCTGGCTTTGAACACAGGGATTCCAAAAGAGATGTTTTTGGTGGGGGGAAGCCTGGCAGCTCCCAGGCCGTGCAATTCCAGATCCGAGTCTGAAGATGGCTCCATGGGAATGAGGGATGTGATCCATCCATGTCCATCCACCCATCCATCCCTGTGTCCATCCATCCATCAGTCCATCTGTCCGTCCATCCCTCCATCCAACCCCATCCATCATCCATCCATCATCTGTCCCTGGGTCCATCCATCTATCCCCCATCCATCCATAATCCATCCATCCTCCATCCCTGTGTCCATCCCTCCATCCACCATCCATCCATCCGTCTATCCATCCTTGTGTCCGTCCATCCATCCATCCATCCATCCATCCATCCATCCATCATCCATCATCCATCCATCCCTCCCTCCATCCCCATGTCCATCTATCATTCATCCATCATCCATAATCCATCCTCCATCCCTGTGTCCATTCCTGTGTCCATCCATCCATCCAACTCATCCATCACCCATCCATCCATGCCTGTGTCCATCCCTCCATCCATCATCCATCCCGATGTCCATCCACCATCCCTCCATCATCCATCCACCCATGGATCCATCACCCATCCATCCCTGTGTCCGTCCATCCATCCATCATCCATCCATCCATCCATGTCCATCCCTCCATCCATCCCTGTGTCTGTCCATCTATCCATCCATCCCTGTGTCTGTCCATCCATCCATGTCCATCCATCCATCCATCCATCCCTGTGTCCATCCATCCGTCATCCATCCAACCATCCATCCATCCATCCATCCATGTCCATCCATCCATCCATCCATCCCTGTGTCCATCCATCCATCCATCATCCCTGAAACCATGTCCATCCATCCCTCCATCCCCACCTCCCCAAGCACCAGGAGTGGAGAACCAACTCCCATTTCCCTCCAGCAGCCTCCGGGGGTTTGTCCCAGGAGAAGGAGGCAGCCCCATCCGTGACATTCCTGCCGAGAGGAGTCCAACAAAAGCAACCAGGGAAAGAACCTGAGCCACCCATGGGAGTGACAGACAAGGAGGGTGGCAGAGATTTGAGGGAAGAAAGGGAAGAGGAAGGCAGAGCTGCAGCATTTCATCTTCTGTTCCTCCCCACAACGAGCCAATTAAAAAGCCCACACACTAAATTAATTCCAGTTCCAGGGGAGCTGGAAATACAGAGCCACTATTTAGGTTAGGGAAAATTGCTGCATTCTGTTCCTTTGTCAGGTGGCAGAGAATGACATCTGCAAAAGGAAAAAAAAAAGAAAAAAAAGCAGAGTTTGGGCCCCAGCACAGCAGGAGCAAAGGAAAGGAGGGAATTCAGGAAGGGTTTGAGGATGTGAGGGGCCAGGGCACAGCCCTGGGCAAAGCCCCCTGCTCTGCCCACACCCCGCTGCCCCACAGCCCTCACTCCTCACCAGTTCCTGCTTTTGTTTGGAACAAGTGGCCAGGCCGTGGTGACAGAGCTCTGCTTCCCTAAAACCCTGCCCAGTGTTTCATTTATGCCTCGGAAAACACCTCTGATAAAACCCAGCCCCACCAACGTCACCAGCCCAGGGTAAATATCCCGGCCAGCTCTGTGCTCCCTTCCTGCCCCTGCTGCGACTCTGGGATTTAATTCCTCAGCAGAGAAACCCCAAATTCACACTGGAATTTTAAGGGAATAAACCCCACAGGGAGCAGAAAATACAAATTATTATCCCAGCTTTTTTTCCAAGGATGACAAAAAGCAGCCAGGGGAGCAGGGCTGGAGCTGCAGGAGGCCTCGGGGCAGGGCCAGGCTCAGCCCTGCAGAGGGAAGTGCTCCCTGTGTAATCATTAACAGCAAACCCAGCCCAGGCAAAGCCGGGAGCAGCACCCGGAGCAGGGATGTCCCGGGAGCCAGGGATGTCCCGGGAGCCAGGGATGTCCCGGGAGCCAGGGATGTCCCGGGAGCCAGGGATGTCCCGGGAGCCAGGGATGTCCCGGGAGCCAGGGATGTCCCGGGAGCCAGGGATGTCCCGGGAGCCAGGGATGTCCCGGGAGCCAGGGATGTCCCGGGAGCCAGGGATGTCCCGGGAGCCAGGGATGTCCCGGGAGCCAGGGATGTCCCGGGAGCCAGGGATGGTCCCCTGCTCCTGTGGGGGCTCTGCCCTGGGGACAGCAGTGATGGCAACTGGGGAAATTCAGAATTTGGGAACTGGGGAAACTCATCCTCTGGGAACTGGGGAAACTCATCCCTTTGTTTGGGAACTGGCCCAGCAGCAGGAGCTCCGTGCCAGGGGTGCCTCTGCAGAGTCCCACGGTGCCACCAGGACCCGCTGGGGACAAGGACAAAACTCCCAGGATGTGGCACAGGGAGGGGCAGAGCTGGCCCCACACACACAGAAATAATTCAGGAAAACCAGTTGGGATTACAGGAAACCCACTGGGAGCTCAGTGGAGCTTTTTCCTGCCTGGTCTGAGCTCCCAAACCTTGGGATTTACACCAAAACCCCTCAGGGCTGCCCTGACAGGATCACGGATGTGAGACTTGGGGGAAAATCCTGTTTAGGGTCACAGAACCTCAGGGTGGTCGGGGTTTGGGACCTCAAATCCCATCCCACCCCAAGGGCAGGGACACCTCCCACTATCCCAATTGTTCCAGCCTGGCTGTGGACACTCTCAGGGATCCAGGGGCAGCCACAGGTGCCCTGGGAATTCCATCCCATTCCCTCAGCGCCCTCACAGGGAGGAATTCCTTCCCAAAATCCCTCCTGGAGCTGGCAAAGCTGGAAAATCCCTGTCCCTCAGGATGGGCCAGCTCAGGAGCTTGGAGGGCAGCTCCTTCCAGCCCTGGAACACCGAGTGTGGGTCCCATCCCACAGGGCAGGAAACATCCCAGGATCCTGGCAGGAATGGGATTCCAGCTCCCCTCGTGTCACCCTCACCCCCAGCTCCACCAACAAACCTTCACAGAGCAAAAAGCCTCTGAATTCCACAAAATCCTGCTCCTAACGAGGTCCCTGTCAGGTGGGAAGGCAAACTGGGAGTATTTATAGGCCTGGATTAGAGCAGGATCTGCTGGGAATCCAGGGAATGGAGCAAATTCCCATTCCCAGAGAGGTGACAGATTTATGAGCTCTCACTTCCCAATCCAGCTTTGTTTTTTGTCCCCCAGCACATTTATACAGAGTTTCTGCAGCCTTATCCAGCTCTGCTCCTGGGATTCTTTCTCATTCCTGGGATTTTTTCTCCCTCTGGGCTGATGGGAAGGCACACAGGCATGAGGGACAGGGATTCATTAAATCCTGGAACTGCTCCTCCACTTCCTACTGCAAGCATCAGCTCCACAACAACTGAAACCAGGATCATGGTGTTATCCTGGAAGGAATGGATGAGGAGCACTGCCAGCCCTCAGCATCCCTGATTTTATTTGGACAAAACCTGGCAAAAATGGGTTTTTCCTTGGATAATCCCACTGAAATTTGAGATCCGGGAAAAAACCAGAAATAACAAATTTTACAAGTCCTGGAATTTACAACCACCCTGAGCACGGAAGAGAAAACATTCCTGCTTGGATAAAACCTAGAAGAACATTCAGGAAAATCTGGATGTGGACAAAAGCTGTTCCAATCTGTTCTAGAATGAAATGGAAGGTGGCCAGGCCCACCCCTCTCCCCATCCAGCCATTCTGGTTTATTTTGAGCAGCAGCCCCAAAGCCCATCCATGGGCACCAGCACTTGGATCAGCTCCACACAATCAGTCCCAGCAGGAACCCAAACCCATAATTACAGCAGCCTGCACATGCAAAACACCAGCCAGGGAGGCTTTGTTCATGCAGGAGTTTCGAGGGATGAGACGAATAAATCAGGAGAAAATGGTTAAAAAAATGGATTGGGGGAGTTTGGGGAAAAAAGCAGCTGCACCAGAGGCTCTGTGGCTTCTGCAACTGCAGGAAAAATGGAGAATTTGTCCCTGGAATGCCTGGGGAGTGCTGGAATTCGGGGAAGCAGCGCAGCCCCCCTGCCTTGGCTGTGAATCCATTTCCTACCCAGCTTTGTTCAGCCTCCCATAAAAACTTCCTGCCCCTCCACCGACCTTCCCTGAGTGCTTTTCCCGGCCCTGGAGCCATTCCCACCTTCCCCAGGCTGGCAAAACCTCCCTCTGAGCATCCCTCTGGAATCCCAGCCAGCTTTTTCCTTGAATTTACCTCCAAACCACCAAATATTATCCAAAGCACCTCTCCCAAAAGCAGCTTGGGACACTCCCAAGTTTTCCAAACCGCTGGAAAACGTGGATCTGATTGATTTTTTTTTTTCCCCCTCACCAGGGATGCACACAATGCATCTCCTCTGGTGGTTGACAACCCCTCTTCTATTTCAGGAATGCTCATCCGCAGGTGGAATTGGATTTCTGTTCCCATGACTGACAACACAACTCCATCCTGGCCTATGGCAGCTGC